TGTTTTTTCCTTTAATAACCTACAGCATAGGGATAACTCCTGTAGGGATATGGGGGCAGAAATGGTCCACAATTCCTTTTTCCTAATTTAATTATTCTCTCCTACTTTAGCTAAGAACTATGGTCCTGTGACATTTATAATGTAACAATACGGGCACTTTTAAGAGTAAATGACAAAGGAAAACATCAATTGCCCAGTAAAATTCCTCAAAACATTAAAATAAAATTGTCCTCTTCAACATATTTTTATATAAAGAAACATTTAAAACAAGAAACACCAATGCTATTGACACAACTGTAGATGAGTTAGAATATAATGTTCTATGTTGCATGAGAAAAATAAAAATGTAGTCAATTGAAGTAACTAATGTAAAAGAATATATTTTAAATACAAGATGAAATTACCAGAAATAAGTTCAAGTAAACAAATACAATAAAAACAACATAATTATGAAGTGAGGGAGGGATTTTTATTATATATCTGACGTGGACAAAATTAATTTCTGAGAACTGGGAGAAATTCAAGTTTGCGTTTAAATTGGCAATGTATCATGACTAAGGGAATTTCCTGAGCATTGAATCTAGGTTTTGTATGTGTGTTTGTTTAGGTAGAATCTCATTTTACAAACTGTACATCCTTGTTGTATAGCACAATCTTTCTTCAAAATGAAAATTCTACTACTTCAGCATTTGCAGTAATATTATATTATGTAAAATAGAATTAATATATGAAATATATTAGCATATTACCTACATTATATTGTTATTAATGCTATACTCATATACAAGATCAATCAATCAATCTATATGTATTATTTATAAAAAGAATATATATTTAATTTTGAAAACATTTTTACTTCTTTTAATGTTTATGTTAGAAATAGATATGCTTTCTGAATTGATTTTACAAACAGAGTTATGTTTATACATAGAGATAGAATCTTTAAAACTTACTTTTATAGATATCCACAAGAGAACTCCATTCAGGAACAACATATCTATCTGCTCAGCATCTCTCTATCTATCTGTCTATCTCATATATATATATACGTATATACATATATATGTATATACGTATAAATATGTATATATACATATATGTGTATATATGTGTATATATATATCAACTTTTATGTGTGTACACATGCACAAGGTTGTGTACATGTATGTATGAATAAATACATCTCATTAACCATGGCAAAGTATGAGTTTGCCAGATGTGCACCACAACAGGCTGTAGGGGTTTGAGGCATGGGGTTATGGGGATGCATGGTAGCCACCTGCCAGTGGGAACTTAGCGAGCTGGGTGGAGAGATTTTGGGGTTCTTTGTCAGAGAGTCTCCACGAGATAAAACAGGCCAGCAATTGCCCGCGAGTGCATGGTCGGCCAGCCAGCTGGAGAAGAGAGTAGCTGGAATTAGCACAGGAACAATATTTAAAAGACTTTAAAAGGCCTGCAACAATATTTAAAAGACTTAGCACAAAAGTGAGCATAACATGATATTTTTACATATCTTATGTACACAGATTTACAGTCAGAAAAATTTACAGATTAAAGGAATATAATTATTATTAATGTGGATACTCATAGTTTCATGGTTATAAATCTGAGACTTAAAGTCATGAACAGTTTTATCCCAAAACTTACTTTAGCAGAGCTGTGTTACTTATTTCTGAAAAATAAAGTTCCTTAAAAAATTCTAAAATATTCTCTCTCTAAAGAAACCTTATTTGAATGCACAATGACTCTAAGAGATATTAATTAAATTTTATCTTACTCTCCCTCCACATGTATATATAAATATCCATTTATAAAATGCCATTGTGAGTTAAAAATTCCGCAGTCAGTGAAATGTGAGAAATTATATAGTTGATTTTTCCTACTCCAGTCCAGTATTCTGACAGCCATTTGATTTTAATTCAGATTTGTTCATCTTTTATCCTTTTAATTTTTTGCAATAGTCTGCTATAATTTCCTCTGATTTCACTTCATACGACATTCAAAATCTTCGTGTAAAATTGTGTAAAAGTTAGCAGTTTCATTATTTTCATAGGATAAAGTTTAAATATTAAATCTGTGTGATTATTTCCAAGTTATCCTTATAAGGAATTTTGATATCTATTATCATGGTCACATTTTTATGTTGAACTACAGCACTCAGAACAGCCTTCACACGTCAGTGTTGTAGTTATGTTCCAAAAATATGTGCTCTGGTCCCTTAACCTTTCACTAATAGCTCAACCCCAGTAAGTAAAACAGATCTGAAACTATTTTGTTAAAGCTTTTAACCACGGGGTTTTCAGATTACTAAACCAGGAGGATTTACAGTTTGGAAATAAGTTGGAAACATCTTAACGGGTGTTTTGGAGTATGATATTGTTAATTTCAGATGTGACATATTCTTTTATCAGTGATTTTTATTCTTGGCTTGTCAGTGTTTATGTTTTACTATTCTTTTTCCGGGTTCTAGCTTCATAAAAATATGTTGAAATGATTCACTACCAGAAATATTAGTTTTACAATTCCGTAAATGAATTTGCTTTTGACATACCAGGTGTACAAGTTTCCATCCTATTTGAAAGGTGATTGGATACCCAAGAACTAGTATATATACATGCCACTTTTCAGGAGTCAGTCTCTTTACCTTACAGGAGGATATGCAGTTATATGAATAAGGACATGGCGACACACCTTCTAGCAAAGTCAAGAAGCACACCAGTCAGCTGCGTAAGACATGGTAATAGCAATTTAACACGCCACACATTGTATTTACAACTTTTCTCTTAAAGTTCTTTGGATGACAGCACTTACTTATTAAATTAATTTTCAAAGTTATTATGGGACTAAAGTAAATAAGATGAAACATAAAATACTTATAAGTGAAATAAAAATAATGGACATTTATTTACATTTCAACATTTGTACAAGGTGAAATAGATGTGCCAGTTTTCTTAGTTACTAGAAAAGTGAGGCAGGAGAATTGCTTGGGTGATCCAGGAGTTAGAGGCCAGCGTGGGAGGTAGCATATGGTTTCAAGCCCACAATGAAAACAAAATAACACATAAATGTATCCATAAATGCTTTCAGTAGTATTTTCAAGTACATGTATTTCTAACTGGCCAGTAACTTCAACTGTGACTCCTCTTTCATAGTCTGCTTTTGGTATTGGGTTGAAAACTATTAGAGTATAGTGGCTATATTGAATTTAGTGGTTATATTAAATTTGCTTTATGCTTTCTCTCATCAGGGAGTTGAGTATATGCTTTTTAGCCTTAATCATCTATCACTGGAGAATGTGTATCTAAACTTAGAAGGAGATTTTTTTTTTAAGAATAATATGATAATATAAATTTATAACATAATATATTCTTATTCTATTTTTTGTTGACCATATATCATTCTTTTGGGTCAACTTTTTAAATCAAAGAATATATTTAGAAATAAATTTTACCTTCGTTATAATCTAAGTGTACATATATGCATTTAGCAAATATGTGTGTTCACTTCTTAGTGAATAGAGTAGTGACTGTTGAATAACTTGATCCAATCATGACAAATTTAATTGTGAACAGAAGAGTATGAATCTCTTGAGGCTTAAACAGGAAATGGTGAACCTTTGCAAGGAAATATTAAAGAAATAAAATTAAAAAAACAAAACAAAAGAAAATGAAAACCACTTTTACATGCTTTCTATTATACAAAGAAGGCTATTTTAACTCTGGACTTAGATATGCTTTTCTTCTTTTAGAAATTCTATCACTATATTTACTTGTTTTCCTAAACTTAAGATTGTTGTTGTTGTCCATAGTCACCATGTCAACCCTATATCTTTGTTTTTCTATGAGCAAATTAATTATTTGTTCAATTGAAAGGTGTACCACTTCCAACTCAGAAATGTCATTGTACTTGAAACAGAACAAAAATGTCTGCCTCCCAGCCATATCCCAATTTGGTTTCGCAGCCCATGTTTCAGTGCTCACAATTGGCTCTGTGTATCCTGATTTTATCTCCCCTGTGCTCTCTTTGCCCTCCTTCCTTAACTCTCTTACTCACTGAATCTCTCAGACTCCTCCGCCATCTCTTTCTCTGGTTACCTACAAATCCCAAATTATTTGTCACTCCAGTCTGTCTTTTCTCCAGCTTTTTCTTGTCCCCTGTTTTATTGTTTCTTACAATTGTTATTCTGTTTTCAAATCTAGCCAAATAGCAAGCCTACCTTTAAAGCCTTGTGAACCTGAGGAGGAAATTACACATCCCTAACCAGTATGCTTTGTTACAAGGGCACTGGAATGTCATATGCCCATGCATTCACCATCAATCCCCTTCATTGATTTTTGTATTTACAGGATGTGATGCTTAAAGCTCATTCCTAATCCTACAGAAATATCTATCTTTGATCTACTCATTTAACACACTGTGTTCATAATTTCCCTTAGCCTTTTTGTCATTTCTCATACTTAAGCAATAGATTCTTCCTTTATATAATTTTAATTTTGACTCTGTTTATTAAAAGGGAAATAGTACCTTGAGTTGTGAAAAGTGTGACACTGCTGTGACGTATTAAGGCATATAATCTCAGCTAGACACCTCTCCTACTAGTTGGACTCTTAGCTACAGATGGACCTTAATTGCTCTTTAAACAAGGCTAGTGCTTGTGTGTCTATCACATTTCCTAGTATACACTGAGAATTTCTGTTGCAGCCTATCATTCTAAAGTCATCAATTTTGCCATGCATTCTTATTACCTTTTGTTGCAGGAAAAACTCAAAATCAGTAGTCTGTTCATGAGCAGGAATAAATGTCAGAGTCACCAATTTGCTTTTCAAACGTGGGTGAGCAGAAAGACTAAGTACATAAAATGCATATTTGAAAATACAGAAAGCATTGTAATGAAAACATGCTTATTTCAGGGGATTTACTGGTGTTCCTTTCCTTAGAGACACTCTTTAGTTACACGTTCTATTGTGTCAAGGACAGACTGGTCCTTTCCAGCCACTTACCCTCTGACTGCATGAATAAGTCTCAGTGATGGATAGGCAGTTCGCACTTTCAGTTTGTTCTTAAGGATTAATGCATTAACCCATTCCACGTGCTTCTCTCCTCCTTTGACCATGAAGGCAGGAATCCAAAGGACGCTGTCATTCAGCATGGAGAGTCTATGCACAAATTTTTCTCTGTCACTCTCATTCCGAAAGCCTCCAAATGCTCTTTGCACAACTGATGGATTCATGGTAATAAAATCTGATTTAGTCCCCACATCCGCAGCAAACTCCACCACAGGAGCTAGATTGCACCTGAGGAAAAATTAATGAAAAAATGGAAAATAAATATGAAAAATTCATCCATAAAATGGAGTGTATGAGAAGAATGAGGAGACATCAGGTTTTTATCAATAGGCAGCAGACCAACAAAACAAAACCAAATTTCCCCAATTAATCTGACTGGTAAAGTTACATGTGTAATAAGTAAACAAAACATTAGAAATAATACTTTCAATAAAGATGTTGATTCCCAGTGGGATCCAATTACCCAATCTGTTATTTTTTGTTTGTCTTCACAAATCCATACATTAGCAGTTCATGATAAATTCATGTATAATGGTGAACCCACAAAGGCTTTGTTGTTATGCTATAGGAAATCTTAACTGTCTGCTGTCTAAGTAAAGAAAACTCAATTGCTGGTCAAATCGGTCTTGTTTTCAAGCCTTGAGTCTTTTCAACATTTCTGGATATTCCTGAAAAAGTTTGACTTCTTAATACTCTTCGGTAAAGGAGCATATTTTTGCAGTGCTGTCCACAAATATATTTACAATTGCCTTTGGTAGGCCTATACATTGAACAAAATGAGCAAATGGAATTGACATCTGAAAGCCTGACTTTCAAAGACTTTAAGATGTGTAGGAAAAATATCCTTGTTATTCCTTTGGACACTATTCTGTAGATTCCTGCATCCCTGTGTGCATATGGAGAAAAGGCATAGAATCTGTGTTTCTGATTTTTACCATTGGATCATGATCCTATAATACATCCTATATCTGATTTTATTCATACAATATGATCTCATCTGTGTATTGAAAGAGTACTTTGGAAAGCTTTATGAATAAATGCCCAACTGAATTATGATGCTGTATTAACTCTTTCACATTAATCATGGATACTTGACTTTAGATATATTTAAATACTCTTACTTTATCTTCCTTGGATGTATGTTTTAATTAGTTTCCAAATGAAAACTTAGATTTTGTGCAAACAAGACTTAACTATCTATAAAAGAAGAAGGTTTTTCAAATGCATTCAATCTACAGATTCATGAAAACAATCCTACACATATATAAAACACAGTTTTCTCCTTTTTATCAATCTCTCAAAAGAATGAATATAGAGTATTATAGTTCATTAGTTTTGGGAGTTTCTTTATATTTCTTTTCCTGTGTATGTTGCATTAATGAAATTTTCAAACAACTTACACTTTAAATAAACAAGAAAATGTATGTACTATCATAAAAATATCATCTTGTGTATCCTTCCATATATCTCTTAATATATGTTTATTTCATAGATTTTTAACAAATTTGCCTATAATAATAAACCTTTTCCACCTCATAATATTCTTAAGTAAAATCTTTAGTATCCAGGATTAGCTGTTAAGCGGGGAAAAGGAAAACATTAAAAGTTATAATTTGCATATTAGAGGTTTAACTTTATATTTTAATGTATATATTGTTTTGCACACTATAACAGATAATTGATATTTTAGCTTTTCTTACTCCATGTCACCAATTGAGTGTAAATGGAAATCATTTGCATTATAACAAAGACAGTAAGAATAGGATAGTCCTGAAAAGCTATTAGAACTCAAATAAGTAGGAATCTGCAGGATGGCACTCAAAGGAACAAAAAATATATTTCACTGACGTATCCTAAAGTGAATAACTATGAAAAATACCCTATAATGATATTAATGGGGTGCTGGACATCTGATTATTAGTTGTTTGGATTTACTGACTCCACAGTAGTTCAGCCCATACATTGTCCTTAAACACTAATATATGCATCTTTAGCTTTTAGCCACTCTATTGTAGGGGTAGCCAGTCCTGATTCTTCTACCTCTACCTCTCAAAAGCTGAGATATCAAATGTCCATGGAACTTTCTGAAGTTCTAACATTGGCATCACATCAATATAAAAAATAAGCTAAAATCTTAATCAACCTGGTTAAAATATGTATTTGGATTCTATAGGGAAATGGGTGTTCTATTGATTATTATTACAGACACTACCTCATTTAGCATCCAAGAATACACATTGAGAGTAAAACTAACATGATCTTGTCATGAGAGATGATAATATGCTAAAAAAACATATGAAGAAATGGGGAATATCCATAAAAATCAGAGCACTTGCTTTCTCATTAAAAATAGCATTTTTCTTCATAATAATAATATGAAATATTTTAAAAATAATCAGGACAGCATAATTATGCTGAAGAGAGTAAAGAATGTTTATGGCTACATCATCTATTAGAAAGAAACTAATGATTTACTCTATGCTTATATTCCCTTACAGGTTAAAATTCACTCATCCCATCTGATATTCTCCAATGTCCACTATTTGAACATAAGTTAAAAATAGTTTACATACATGATTGTCTGGGCATGTGTGTGATAAATGAGCATAACATTTAACTAAGTTGTACAATCTAACCCTTATATTCATAGATTATTGCATCTCTCACCTCTCATTGGAGAAGCAACTCTTTGAAGCAGATGGTCATTACCACAAAGACCACACCTAGGTAAGATGCACAGAAAAAGGAACTGTGGTATGCTCACTCCTAAATGCAGCATCTACACCACATCCCCTCCTTCCAGTACTCAAGATCATGGCAGAAGAAGAAAAGGCCATAAAACCTCGAGATGATGGATGAATGAAAGCAAATATTGTCCCCCTGACACAGTAGGGTAGCTACAATCTGAACTCAGCAACTACAAAAGCATGCTCAAGCCAGATAAAATCCCAGAATGGAGAGGAACAGTTGGCACAAATTCCTACCCCAGGAGCTATTGTCAATTGATAGTGGCTTGGAGAGGGAGTATGAGCTCCTTTGACGTATTGTACTTGATAAGTCTACCACCATACAATGGAAGACCACATGCTCAAGAATATATGAGTAGCACAAATTGGTCTTGATTGATAGGAAAAAGGGCACAAGGTTGGGTAGGCCCCTAAGGGAGAGTATATCTGGGAAGAGTGGAGACAGGGTCAGAAAGATCAAAATCTCTTGTTCAAAATTCTCAAAGGTCCAATAAGTAAAAATGTTAAGTTTGAATGGAAACTTAAAAACCAGAAGTGTTAAAAAGAAATTCAACAATTAACACTAATGCTAAATGAAAATACTTCCTACTTTGGAAGCAGAGAAAATCCTTTATTATGTTTTTGTTTACTTGTTTGATTGATTTTTTGAGAAGAGGATTGGTCTTAGAGAGAAAAACATATATATTTAAATACATCTAAACATAGTTAAATGAGGACGATGCTAACTTAAAAAACATTGTGTCACCCAGCAATGTCAACAGATATGATATGGTGATGAGTTCTCACCAGCTTGACTGCATAAACATGAGCTGAACAAGAAAAATACTAATAGAAATGTTAAAGTGGATGGAAGCAGCCTTATCCATACATAAAGAACTAGAGGAATGCAAGCAACAGTGGGGAATACAGTCATCTCTAGCAAAGAGTGCACCAATCTCACTCCAATTCCAAATGGTCGGCTTTAAAGCAGACATATGAGTAGCATTATACAGACTTAGCATATTATATCTAGGGATATAGGCATTCTTACATTTATACTTGTAATGAAAATTAATAAAACAAAGTGGTGATGGTAGAAAAGAAAGCAAGGAGGGGAGCATAGGACAGTTTGGATGGAGGAAACGAGAGGAAGAAGGACGTCATTTTATCGTGTCAAAAATAAAACCATGAAAGAACAACCAGAGATGGGAGAATAAATATTAAATTCATATGTAGTATTTTGACAACTTGAGCATAGTGCCATCAGACTTGAAGAATGACAGTAAATGTACTGAAAATAAAACAGAAAGATACATCATAAAATGTAGCTTGTGTTGGCTAGAAAAGGCCAATTTGTCACTCTTCTGGGAGTGAGTAGCGTGCTTCTCTTCACTGGAAATGAAGAATAGAACCATGTCTACATGAAGCTGACAAATGACTGCATGGAGATAGATCAGCTATCTAGTTATGTAATTAGCAAACTGTGATATATTCAAAGAAAACTTAAATAAGCAACTCTAATGAACCAGCAGTGCTTCTCAGCAGCATTTCAGCAGACTAGTCCATGTTGGTGAGCAGCACATTTGCTGATAGAGAAAGACTATAGCTGTTTTCTCAGTAAAAAGTTTCCATCTTTCTAAATATCTTCTTTGAAATGAAAGTTTTCAGAATTAAACAGAAGGTGACTCAAAAGTTTATGAGCTCCTGCATAGGTTACTCAGATTATTCTTAACGTCCTTAACGTTGGCCAATTTCAAAATGAAACCTTTTTTTGTTGCTGTTTTTTTCAGCCAAACTACTATGCAGATACAAGCAGCTAGTAGCTGTGAGTTCCTTTGTCTTTGATCAAATCAATTTTTGTACATCCCATTTATTCTTGACAAATTAAAATTCTAAGAGATATATACACAAGAGATCTTAATTCCTAAGTCCTCTGTTGGGGCTGGTTCTACATTATTGACACAGCATTTGGAGGAGTGAGGATGACTCCAACTTTAAGAATTTAAATTTTCTTTTGTGATCCAATATTTATATGATTTTTCTATATGTCTCATGCTAGGTGAAAATGTTTCCATTTTTAAGGCTGTATAAATTATTTATTAAATGATCCATGAAGAAAGCAATGCCAGCTACCTGTTTAAATTCTAAAGTATCATGGAATTCCTTAATAAGAAAGTACAGTGTGGATTTGTCAATCTTAACATTCCCTTATATCTTTTCTATAACCTAAATAAATAGGATACATGTCATTTATCCATTCACTGAGAGCTCAGTACTCAAATTCAGCACTGTGTTCAAAATGCTTCCCTAGTTGTTTTGATGATCATGGATATGAAAGATCCCAATATAGCTAGATATTACAAATATATATATATATATATATATATATATATATATATATATATATATAGAGAGAGAGAGAGAGAGAGAGAGAGAGAGAGAGAGATACTGGTTAGATGTTATCAATACTCTAAGCAAAATAAGGTCACTCATTTAGCCATTTGTTTATTCACTCCACTGGTTTTATTTTCAAGTGTGTGTTTTGTATAGTATTAATCACTGAAGACATTTAGGTAAAGGACAGTATTCTGTGTAATTGGTGGATGGTAGTTAAATACTTATACAAAGTCCATTTGATTCAAAGAAACAGCTTTGAGTTGGTAGTAGATGGTATTTTTCCACATCTATGGTTATCATTCAAACAAGCTGCTGTAAGTAATTATTTTGGTTTTCTGCTGTGGCTATAGCCACCTAACTTTTTTTTTTGAGTTAACACTAATCTCTCAGCCAAAACTAATACTACCATTTGTCAAACGAGTGGATTTTACCTAGGCTTTCGATCAAAAGAAGTATGTGAGCCTGTCTGAAACCTTCTATATTGGTTCTCAGCTTGAAGTGTCAAGTATAGGGTCAGAGAAAATCTTCCACCTATCTTACTTTAGATGTTACATATTCTCTCCACATTGTATAATTAGAAAATATTCCCTGTCAGTCCTTCTATACCTTCTGGATTGATGGTAGGAGGCACTGAATGGACTTGAAGCCAGTTAAATCAAATGCCTCAAAAATTTTGAAGAATATTCTTTTCATGCATTAGTAAATTTCAAATGACCACCTGATAAGAGTTTTTATATATGAATCACAAATTGGCAAGATGTTCAACTGGATATAAATGAATACAAACATGATGTCTCATGAAAAGAAAGCTAATGATGACTATAGACAAGATCACTTTCACAAACTCAGGCATTCTTTTACATTACTGAGGAGGGTATTGAGAAGAATGGTTCGTTCCAATGTCTCAGGAATCAAAGTTTTAATTTCCTGATCAAACAATCAATGTTTTGTATGCTAAGAATATGTTAGACTGTCATTTTAATACATCAAACAAAAATGAAAATTCAAACATGCTATAATCACAAGAATACTGTAAAATAATTTTATTTGACAAACTGGAGGGAAATATCCTCCATGGGAGTATGCCAAGCAATGGATGGATGTGCTGCACTGACATAAAATAAAATGCTATATGTCATCTGATATCTGTCCATGTCTGTCATTAACTTGAAGGATTATGAGGAGGACATCATCATTTTTATCTTCGTCCCTCTCTATCACTACAGTCCAACTCAAACCTGTGCTAACACAGGTGAGTTATTCTAAGTCTCTAAGATTGTAATTGTTCCTTTTCAAATTTTCTCTCTTTGTAGAAGTACAGTTTAGAAAAAAATCCATGAAGTTATATAAATCTCCATCTATATATTATGTACACACATATCATAATTAGACAAAATGGTTCATTAAACAATGGTGCAAGTTTTAAAGTTCATTCACATGCTGAATTATACTTAAAACCAAAACTACAAATTGAAATTCATATAATTAGGAAATTACAGCTGTCACATTGAAACTTACTAAATCATGAGTGAAGACAGCATTTTATTGTGATTATGAGAACATTTTTGGAGCCCTTGTCATGTGCCAGACACCATTCTATTGGCTTTGTGCATAGTGTGCTCTGATTCTCAGATAATAACCTGATAAAGACACTATTGTTACATATTTCCATTGACATAAAAAATGAGTTAAAGGAAATCTGTCAAAAGTGCATGGCTGGTCCCTAGGACAGATACATTTTAGACTTATTATGTTAACAGAGTGCTCTGGGGGAGGAGAAGCACAAAACCAAGAGAGAGAACTTGGTAACAAGTTCCATTGCACCTGACAGTGAGAATGAATATGATTTCCATCATCTTACTGACTCTAGTGTGTGCTGACCAAGAAGGAGGACTATTTTTTCTTTATCTCTAATATACTTTCTCCCTCAAATCAAGAGATTTCTCAATGAAAATTGGCTTTCTTTGATGATAAGGATAAGGAAGTTTTATTTATGGAGTTTGATTTAAAAACATATAAAAATATTTGAGTTTCTATTCCTCTCTTGCAGAATTTTATCTTATTAAAAAGTGCATGCAATATAAATGATGAAATAATTAATTAATATTGCAATGCATGTATTTATTAGATGAGAGATAATAAAAATGACAAAATATTCTGTAAAGTATACTTAGTGGTATGTGTATAACATTAAATGTATACCTCTTTTAATACTTCAAGGAAGGCACTTAAGTAAGACAAACAGTTCCAAGATTTTAGATAAGGGAAAAACCAGACTGGTTACATTAGCATTTTCAAGAGAGAAGATCTGAGAGATCTGGCAGTCATTATATAATGTTCTGTTGCACACCCACAGTTTTAATCAAAGTCAAGCTTCATTTTCATCAGATTTCTCTCTGGGGCCTGTTCAATTTGGAGCAATATGGCTAATTCAAACAGCATTTGCCTTTGAAGAAATATTGAAAACAAAGAGGGGATTGAGGGAGGTTGAAGCATAGACAATGATTGACAAAGATTATGTTCCTCAAATTAAACCTAACAACAGGTTATTTAGCAATGAAAGATTGTGTACTAAG